CGGGTTAAATAAATTACCATTTATTGTTTATTTCAAGAAAAAGAAAATTATTAAGTTTAAATGTGGACCAAAGAATATACTATAAATGTATTATAATTAGCTTGTACCATATTTGACGAAATTGAATTTTGGAGAAGTTAGCGTAGATTTGATTCAGCGCAATACTTCATGTAATTGTTTATTTATATATGTGCAAGGCATTTAGCGTTGTACTTGAATTAGCGGAAGTTTCTTTCCGCCAAAATCGCTAAAAAGAATACACAGCCAAATGTTATATGTTTACAGTAACTTAACTGATCAATTTCACTGACCATTGGTCTTGTTTTCCCAGGGAGAAGAAGCTGTCTAAGGACCATGAGATTTACAGTAACAAGCTGCGGGACAAGAAGAAGAAGTTCCAGGAGGAACTAGACTACGCGGAGAAGCAGGTGAAGATGTTCCAGAACAAGAGCAACATGAACGAGGCCGAGAACTTCATACAGGAACTGGAGGACATCGCCAGGAAACTGGAACTGTTCCAGGAAGAGGTTAGGGCTGGTATCTAGGGAAGCGGGGAAATTCTTTGTTATTTCTGTAGAACTTGGGGGATGGGGTGTTATTACATGGGAAGCTCTAAAGTTTTCTCTTTGAGTTGAACATAAGGGTATTGTGTAGTAAAGCTGGAAAATTTCCAGTTTCTGATTAATTCAGATGAGTGGAAAAAATTGCAATTTTTTATGTATAGTTTTCTAGATCTGTTGTCATATCATTGACCCTTAAACTTCTACATTCTCAAATGAAGAAGTAGTAAAAGGTATTAAAGCAAGTCTATATTGTTAAAGCAGCCATTGGGGTTTAATTTAAAGACTTGTTTCCTGATTGATTTCAGAAAGTAAAGATAAACCGAGAGGAGATGTTGCTGGGACAGGAAGTGATGTCACAGTATGGACAGATCCAGGCCATCACCACCGCGCGAGAACCGTACGAAAAACTCTGGAGGACGGCCGTCACCTTCCACAAGGAGCACGACAACTGGATGAACGGTCCACTACTCAAGGTCAATGCAGAGGTCGTGGATGAAGAGGTCAGTGATATATACGGTCAAGTGGAAAATCTTTCAAAGTGTCGTCAGAAATCCACGGTCAGACTGTCTTCTCTTCCCTTGGATGGAAAGAGAAGACTGACTATGGGTTTCCGATGATGGTTTCAGTGTATAGAGGGAATATTATTATACCCCACGCAACTAGTTGCATGAGGTATAATGTTTTTGACCAGTCCGTCAGAGTGTTAGAGTGTCAGTCAGTCAGTCAGTCAGTCCTTTTTTTTGTCAGCGCAACTCCTCATAAACCGCTGCACAGAATTTCGTCAAACTTTGCAGGTATTTAGAACACAATGTGTAGATGTGCATATTATCAGGAAATTCCGATTCCATTATTTTTCCCGGGAATTTCCGCACTTTTTAACTTAGGCATTTGGCCATACCTTGAATATGGAGATGAACAGTTTGTCAGAGCAACTCCTCATAAACCGCTGCACAGAATTTCGTCAAACTTTGCAGGTATTTAGGACACAATGTGTAGATATGCATATTACCAGGAAATTCCAATTCTTTATTTTTTCCGGGAATTTCCGCACTTTTTAACTTAGGCATTTGGCCATACCTTGAATATAGAGATGAACAGTTTGTCAGCGCAACTCCTCATAAACCGCTAAACAGAATTTCGTCAGACTTTGCAGGTATTTAGAACACAATGTGTAGATGTGCATATTACCAGGAAATTCCGATTCCTTTATTTTTTACGGGAATTTCCGCACTTTTTAACTTAGGCATTTGGCCATACCTTGCATACAGAGATGAACAGTTTGTCAGCGCAACTCCTCATAAACCGCTGCACAGAATTTCGTCAAACTTTGGACACAATATGTAGATGTGCATATTACCAGGAAATTCCGATTCCTTTATTTTTCCCAGGAATTTCCACACTTTTTAACTTAGGCATTTGGCCATACCTTTTATATAGAGATTAACAGTTTGTCAGCGCAACTCCTCATAAACCGCTGCACAGAATTTCATCAAACTTTGCAGGTATTTAGGACACAATATGTAGATATGCATATTACCAGGAAATTCCTATTACTTTATTTTTTCCGGGAATTTCCGCACTAAAAACTTAGGTTTGGGCCATACCTTTTATATAGAGATGAATAGTTTGTCAGCGCAACTCCTCATAAACCGCTGCACAGAATTTCGTCAAACTTTGCAGATATTTAGGACACAATGTGTAGATATGCATATTACCAGGAAATTCCGATTCCTTTATTTTTCCTTAGAATTTCCACACTTTTCAACTTAGATTTTTGGCCATACCTTGAATATACAGATGAACATTTTGTCAGCGCGACCCCTCACAGAATTTCTTCAGACTTTGCAGACACAAAGTATTTAGGACACAATGTATAGATGTGCATTTTACCAGGAAATTCCGATTCCTTTATTTTTCTGGGAATTTCGTCACTTTACAACTTAGATATTTGGGGATATCTTGAATATAGTGATTAACAGTTTGTCAGCGCAACTCCTCATAAACCGCTGCACAGAATTCTATCAAACTTTGCAGATATTTAGGACACAATTTGTAGATGTGCATATTACCGGGAAATTCCGATTCTTTCATTTTTTCCGGGATTTTCAGCACTTTGAGTTTTGGGGGAGCGTGGGGTATGTGAGCTTGCTCACTTTTTCTTTCATTAAAATCGACTGCAGGTTTTGATTAAAAAGCTATGAAGCTGATTAAGCTTTATTTTTGGAATTTTAAAGAAATTCAATGTTTTGAAAATGAATATAATTTTAATGAAATTGACTTTATATCCTCTGACAAAACTCAGTGCATTTAATTTTACATTTAATATTTATTACTAGTTTTTTAGCTCTACTGGTCAGAGACCAGAAGAGCTTATGCAATAGTAATGCGTCCGTCCGTCTGTCTGTCTGTCTGTAAACAATTTTTCAAAATGCTACTCCTCCTACAGTTTTGGTCTGATTTCAATATAACTTGGCACACAAGTAGACTACACTATGATACATAATTCTATGTATCGTTTTTTGGTTTTGATGAACGATGTTGCCGTGGTTACTAAAAATAGAAATTTCTATGAAATTCTTTCAAAATGCTACTCCTCCTACAGTTTTGGTCTGATTTCAATATAACTTGGCACACAAGTAGATTACCCTAAGATACATAGAATAGTGCATCGGTTTCTAATTTCGATGAACGGTGTTGCCGTGGTTACTAAAAATAGAAATTTCTGTGAAATTCTTTCAAAACGCTACTCCTCCTACAGTTTTGGTCTGATTTCAGTATAACTTAGCACACAAGTAGACTACACTAAGATACATAAATCTATTTATCGGTTTTTGATTTCGATGAACGGTGTTGCCGTGGTTACTAAAAATAGAAATTTCTGTGAAATTCTTTCAAAACGCTACTCCTCCTACAGTTTTGGTCTGATTTCTATATAATTTGGCACACAAGTAGACTACACTAAGATACATAATTCTATTTATCGGTTTTTGATTTCGATGAACGGTGTTGCCGTGGTTACTAAAAATAGAAATTTCTGTGAAATTCTTTGAAAACGCTACTCCTCCTACAGTTTTGGTCTGATTTCAATATAACTTGGCACACAAGTAGACTACGCTAAGAAACATAATTCTGTATTTGATTTCGATGAACGGTGTTGCCGTGGTTACTAAAAATAAAAATTTCTGTGAAATTCTCTCAAAATTCTTCTCCAAATACAGTTTTTGTCTGATTATATTATAATGTGGCATGCAAGTAGACTACACTAAGAACTTAAAAAGACTTAATCAAGGATCATTATTCTATTTATTGCTGTTGTAAAGTTCCAATTCCCAACTGCTTAGGTACTTTTCTCTCTCGTTGCTATAAGTACAAACCAGTAGAGCTTCAGTCTCGACAGACTTCTGGTTGTTGTTTTATTTTTATTTTAATAGATGTAAAATTTTATGTGAAATAAATTTCCAGGTCCAGAATCTGTGGAAGACAGCTTACAAACTGACAAAACAGTTTGCCCACCCAGACTTCCGCGGACCTAAAACAGCAGCCATTAAAATCAAAACAAGGCTGGAGACGTTTAAGATCCACATGCCGTTGATTAATGCTTTGTGTAATCCTGGCATCAAAAAGAGGCACTGGGACATGATGAATGAAAAGGTTGGAAGTTTTGTTTTTTCTTTTTAAAAAAAAAAAATAACATGAATAATGCCTGATTTCTCCAACTTTTTAAAGTCAGTGAGAATATATACATGATGCAGAATGGAATGAATTTGTCTATGTTTTAATGAAAAAAATGTATGACTAAATAGATTTAGCTAAACAAAAAAATTGTGCATCTCGCCTTAAAAAAAACAGTAACATAGTTTATAAATTCAATGTATATAAATAGATGTTCTTTAAGTACAGCAGTGTTGAAGTCATGAGAAGTTCTAACTTGATTTAATATTTGTGTGGAAATTGACAGGTTGGTTTTAACATGGCTCCCAATGAAGAAACACCATTACAAGAGATACTGAAGTTAGACCTGGACAAATATCTGGACGTCCTACAGGAAATCAGCTCACAGGCCAGCAAAGAGTTCGCTCTAGAGAAGGTATTCATCAGTCTAGATAATTCATCAATTTAGATAAGTCAGATTTTCTTGTCAAGTCATTTTTCACATCAATGGTAATTTTTTCATATCTGGTGATGATGATGAAAGGTGTGTGATAATGATGATAACAAGACTACATCAGTTTGTATTTTTGATGAAAATCTTGGAAGCTGATTTGAATGTTATTTGAGGAGGAGGAGTATGATGCTTATAATAGAATTTTAACTTTCTGTTCGATGATTATTTTATCATGGAACATCTGAGTTCATGATGATGATGATGTTTGACATGCTGATGATGATTTTTGATATGATGAAAATGTTGATGATGTTTGATATGATGAAAATTTTTATGATGTTTGAGATTATGAAAATGTTGATGAAAATACTTGATATGATGAAAATGTTGATATTTTAAATGATGATGATTTATAACACTACTTTGTGATTTCAGGCTCTGGAGAAGATGAAGAGTGACTGGCAGAACATCCACTTTTCCTTCGTCCCGTACAAGGATACTGGTATCTCTATCCTCTCCTCTCCCGAGGATATTCAGGTCCTGCTGGACGACCACATTGTCAAGACGACCACAATGAAAGGATCACCATTTATAGCTCCTTTTGAAGTGGCAGTTAATGAGTGGGATAATCTACTGGTTTGTATATTGAATGTTCACTTTTAAAATGTATTGATGAATGAGATGTGATTGGAGGGTTCAATATTGGGAATTTATGATACAAACTTCTCTAGTACTACAAATTACAGTTGAACTTCGGTGTCTCAAACTCTGATATCTCAAATACCATGGATATGTCAAAGTGATCTGGACATCCCAACCACATATTCTCTAAAGCAGCACAGTGAGTCAAAATTATATCTTAATTTTAAGATTCTGTAGCATACAGAGAAAGACTTACGAAAATTATGAGTATATAGCGAAGATATGACAATTCAACTGCAAGAATTGACTGCACAATATAAGTGCCGGAAAAACAAAGGTTGTATTAACCGTTTCGTTGTTTCGTATATGTCAAGGTCACGCTACTCTTATTTTTAGCTCAAACTTGTAAACAAAATTCAACTGATGCATGCAAAGGTGAGAAATATGTTCTTACAACTTTTTAAAAAGATTACATCAAATTTTTGGTCTACTTATATTCATTCGTGGATACCTGAGACCATGGTAACTATGGAAACTTATTAAACACTTTTCTGCGCACGCGTATGATAGGGAGGAAGAAGTACCAGGGTATTTTGCAATATTTTCGTTCTGGGGCAGACAGAAATTATTTTTACTTTTATTTTTCCCCATAAAAATTTAATTTTTAGGTTCTGAAACCTGTAATTTTCTGAAACCTAATACTTTAAGGAATTGAACAAAATTTACAGAGGTCATGCGAAAATTCTACATTT